AGAAAACTCCTTCCTTCCCAATTCACTTTCTGTTTTACTTTCTCAGCTGAGAAATGAAATGTTACAAAAAGCAGAAGTTTTGATAATTTTTCTAGAAATCACCTCGACTTCTTGGAATTTACTTTAAACAACAACTCTAAAATACTAGTAGTGAGTCAAATGAAATACGATATTCGTCATTGCTCAGAACCTTCACGTCTTCAAAGTTCGCCGATCCCTTTACCTAAAAACGCGAGACTTAACGTCGAGGAATCTCTTCAGTCAATTTTTAATAACTCATGTCCAAAATCACACATTGCCTCATGCGTAAATTTGTCTTCTCTAAATTCTTTAAGGCCAGTAATAGAAATAAGTGAACGATCCATCCAGTACTATAGGACATACTACATATTCAATTTTTTTTTGCTCACGTTTGAAAAGCGAACTTCAGCACATATCAAAAATTTGTTTCTCACTTGACATTTTATTTCTCCACTCGAAAGTCAGAACCAAGTTTAAAGTCTTGAAGAAACGGTGGGAGCAGTCCTCTAGAGCAGAGGAAGCCAGTTGTATACAACAATTGGTTAAAAATTTGAACAAAAAAATGCATGAAAATTAGTCAGAAAAAATCGCGAAATTCTAGCAATTCGATCTGTAATTGATGTTATTGTTGCGCTACTGGTGCGGGCTCCTTAAAACTAATAAAATAATATATTTATGATATCATTGAGATTCACAGTGTTGTCAAAGCTTCATTTTAGGCCTCTTTTTGGTGTTTTATCCTTTATGTTGCTGTAAAATTCTCTTTTTAAGAATGTTCCCTGTCTGCCCGGTAGAAGTGCATCTTCTATTTCGAGCCTTAAAATTGATACGAAGCTCCTACTATATCAACTCCCGATTGTATATGTGCCTTTTTATGCATAAACGCTAGCTTACCTCGTGAAAAATAGTCGATGGATGCGGGCCGGTGGATGATTTGTTGCTAGCCATTTGCCACGAGTACTTGTGGCATCGGTATCTAGAAGTTTTTGTGATACTGGCTTAGTTATGTGCTCAACTCAAAGATATTTTTCATCCGCTTTGAAACTGCTAGCTTCCCAAA